TTTTTCTAGTAAACATTGTATTAAAGTGTTAGTGAAGCCGGCCAGTTGATTCTTTCTTCCTTAGAAATTCACTGTTTGGGCTGTTAGTCCCAGACCACGCATAGAAACATGGATACATTTCTTCATCTCAACTATATATTATAAAGTTCCACTTACACTATGCTATCTAAATCTCAAATCTAATAAGCATCTGAGGAACAAGAGAATAATGATCTTCCGAACATTATCTATTCTTGCTTTCTTAGAACTTCTAATGACTGAATCAGCAGGAGTCCAGCCTCTGGGAATGCCTGGTTGTCAAGAGTTTTGTGGGAATGTCAGCATTCCATACCCCTTTGGAATTGGAGCAGGTTGCTACATGAACAAATGGTTTGAGGTCTCCTGCAATGAAACTTTCACCCCTCCTACAACTTTACCAACCAGCATAGAAATTGAGGTGCTGTATTTCTCTCTTGATTCAAGCTTTGTTGCTGTCAAAATACCAATAATCCGCCGGAACTTGTCTACAGAGTTGAAATCTGTGAATTTCTCAGGAAGTCCTTTCATCTCCCCCTTGGGGTCCCCACTTGACACTGAGGAATATGTTACAGATGCGTTTAACTGGGTGATTACAGAGGTGGGTGCATCACGATTACCATACAGATATGATCATGCATTTTATTGTATCCATTATAAGAATTATATCGCCCATGGTTTTTCCTCCACTTTAATGCCCCTAGACACAGCTAGACAATGCTTTTGTGATCCTGGATTTCAAGGCAATCCTTATCTACCTTTTGGATGTCAAGGTAAACTTCTATCATGTCCACCTTTTCTCTAGTTATATCCTTTCCTCGTTCCTTTTATGTATACAGTAATATTTACTTATTTAGCTTCTTTTTTCTTTTTTTTTTTTATCAAAAACATCAAATACAATAAGAAAAGAAATAGCAATAAGTTTTAATGCCTGCAGCATAAGGTTATATATATATATAATTTATGTATTTTAGTTCAGACTGCACGTTAAAAGTGCAATCTTACCACTAAAATTACTAAATTGCAATAGATAAACATAAAGAAGAGTTTCATTAAGAGTATTTTTGTAATTTAAGAGTTAAAATTACACTTTTACTATGTAGTTCAACTTAAAAAAACATTGTTTTATATAAAGAAGCTCCTTTGTTTCCTTTTTTGAGAAAAAGAAAAGCATTGTTATTTATTCAGCCCTATGATCTTGGTTAGTATTACAAGAACCTGCGATAAAACTAACCAAGGGTAGAAAGTGTGCACCTGTTGGTAATTTTATTTTTTATGCCTACATATTTTCTTTCACTTCTGTTCGTTTGTCTTGTTGATTTTGTTGTATTTATTTACAAAAACACTATAACTACAATGTCAAATAGTATTATAAGATTATAATATGATATATTATTATATAAATAACTATTTTTATTCAAAAGTGTGATATTACATGCATCAACTCGTTCAAATCAATATCACATTATATTTATTTAATATTACATTATTAAAAGGCAGTTGTACAAACTTTTAAAGAAGAAAATGAAAAAGAAGCTTCAAAGGCAGTTCTTCAAACAAAATGGGGGTTTATTATTGCAACAACAACTATCTTCAACTGAGGGTAATATTGAAAACAGCAAAATATTTAGTACAAAGCAGTCAGAGAGAGCTACTAACAAATTCAACAGGAATAGAATACTAGATCAAGGAGGCCAGGGCACTGTTTATAAAGGAATGTTGGTTGATGGAAGAATTGTTGCAGTTAAGAAGTCCAAAGTATTGGACAAAGAGAAAGTTAAAGAGTTCATCAACGAGGTGGTTATTCTTACACAAATTAATCACAGAAACATTCTTAAGTTATTAGGCTGTTGTTTGGAGACTGAAGTTCCTTTGCTAGTTTATGAATTCATCCCCAATGGAACACTTTTCCAGTATATCCATGATCAATATGGGGCCTTCCCATTAACCTGGGAAAGATGAGTAACCATAGCAGAAGTTGCAAGTGCACTTTCCTATTTGCACTCGGCAACCTCCATTCCCATTTATCATAGAGATGTAAGTCCTCAAATATTCTTATGGATGGAAAGTTCAGGGCAAAAGTTTTAGACTTTGGGGTATCAAGATCAATTGCCATTGATCAAACTCATTTGACCAAAAATGTGAGGGGCATATTTGGGTACCTAAATCCTAAATATTTCCAGTTAGGTCAATTTACAGAAAAAGTGATGTTTACAGCTTTGGAGTCGTCCTTGATGAGCTCTTAACTAGAGAAAAACCAATTTCTATAGTAGGAGAAAACGAAGAGGAAGCAAGAAGTTTGGCCTCTCATTTCATTCTTTCCATGGATGAGAATAGTCTCTTTAATATTCTTGATGCTCAATGAAGGGAGAGTTCTGCACGTGAAGAGATAACAAAGGTGGCTAAACTTGCATATCGATGCTTGAGCTTGAGTGGTAGAAAACGGCCAAAGATGATAGAAGTTGCTGCAAAGTTAGAACAGATTCCTCTTTCACAAAACTATTCAAATGGTCAACAAAATCATGAAGAGGTTAGGTATGTCAACACTGAAGTAACCAATGTTTGGGATGGTGCCTCAACTTCAACAGGTTCAGGTTTGGACTCTGGAGTTGCTTTGTCATTAGACATGGAGTCATGAATTCCCAGTGAACCATGGGGACTTAACTGATTTATCCTAGAATGCATTTATTCCATGTTGGGGGATGTAATAAGTTCTTTCTTTTTTGTGTTGGAAAATTTTTAGTTCATTTAAATTTTATTTTTGTCACATTGTAGTTCAAAGTTCAGGCACAACTTGGTTACAATAGTTTGATACAATTGACAACTTTAATTGATTGATAAGCTTCTTGAGTGCAAGAAAACATTACCTCCTCCCTTAGACAAAGTCAAGCCTTTCATCTCAGCCACCATACCAGAATATCTAGTTGGTATCTGCCATCCAGATTGTCTCCACTGAGAACTTTTGTTTCATGCTGCCCACAGTGAACTCAGCTATTTTTTGTAGCCTTTCAGAAATTCTGTCTTCTGGTAGAACAGTCATAACAAAGGGAGGTTTGTTTGTCTATCTACCATCCCCACTTTCAATACTAACACCATCTCTCATCATCTTTTTCACCTAAAGATCTTTCTTTTAGACCATGCACAATCCTGTGGACTTTTATTGGTTTCATTCCATTTCATTTTGAAATTTGAATAGTCTAACCGTGAAACTGGACATTTATATAAATCAAGTGTTGATATACATGCATTTCTCTTGCTAAAGTCATCTGTTTCTTCTTTCTTGATATCTGCGGGTATTAGCCTAGGGTTTGGAGTAATTTGTTTACTGTTTACCTATCGGTACATGGTGGTTGTACAAAATCTTAAAGAAGAGAAGGAAAAAGAAGCTTCAAAAGCAGTTCTTCAAACTAAATGGAGATTAATTATTGAAGCAACAACTATCTTCAACTGAGCGACTAACAATTTCAACAAAAATAGAATACTTGATCAAGGAGGCCAGGGCACTATTTATAAAGGAATGCTGGTTGATGGAAGAATTGTTGCAGTTAAGAAGTCCAAAATATTGCATAAAGAGAAAGTTAAAAGAGTTCATCAATGAGGTGGTCATTCTTACACATATTTATCATAGAAGTATTGTTAAGTTATTAGGCCATTATTTGGAGACTGAAGTTCCTCTGCTTGTTTATGAATTCATCTCCAACGGGACACTTTTCCAGTACATACATGATCAAAATGAGGGCTTCACATTAACTTGGGAAAGAAGGTTAACAATTGCAGCAGAAGTTGCAGGTGCACTTTCCTACTTGCACTCAGCAGCCTCCATTCCCATTTATCATAGAGATGTCAAGTCCTCAAATATTCTACTAGATGAAAAGTGCAGGGCAATAGTTTCAGACTTTGGGACATCAAAGATCAATTCCCGATGATCAAACTCATTTGACCACAAATGTGAAGGGCGCATTTGGGTACTTGCACCCTAAATATTTCCAGTCAAGTCAATTTATTGAAAAGAATGATGTTTACAGCTTTGGAGTTGTCTTTGTTGAGCTCTTAACTGAAGGAAAACCAATTTCTTCAGTACGGACGGAGTAAGTGGAAGCAAGAAGTTTGGCCTCACATTTCATTTTTCCATGGAAGAGAATAGACTCTTTAATATTCTTGATGCTCAAGCAGGGGAGAGTTCTGCACATTGAGAGATAACAAAGGTTGCTAAACTTGCATATTGATGCTTCAGCTTGCGTGTAAAAAGCGGCAAAAGATGATAGAAGTTGCTGCAAAGATAGTGCAGATTCATCTTTCGCAAAACATTTCAAATGGTCAACAAAATCATGAAGAGGTTAGGTATGTCAAAACTGAAGTAACCAATATCTGGGATGGTGCTTCAACTTCAACAGGTTCAGGTTTGGACTCTGAAGCAGCTTTGTCTTTAGACATGGAGCCATTAATTTCCAGTGAATCATGGGGCTTTAACTGATCTATCCTAGAATGCA